TCCAACAATTCTTTAAGGCTATTTGGATCATGGATTTGAGTAGGAATTTGGAAAGAAAAAGGAAATGCGGAAAAGATTTAGCTTATATTTCATTCAAATTTGCCTCACTTTTTCTTTTCTTTTTCCAAATCTCTACCAAAATCTATTATCCAAACATAGCATAAACAAATATATGTTCAACAATTCAGCTCACCTTACGTTTTGACATCACTGTGTTAGTTACATTCAATCGTGAGTATTCCCATACATAAGGCTGGAAAAGGCTCAATGCATCCAATAACCAATAATATGAAGCACGCCTTGTCTCAAATTCAAGTGTACAAAGCTGCATAAAATTTTCAAAAATAAAATAAAAATAAAAAGGATAAGAAATCTTCCAATTTAGGCTTGCATAGACTCACTTCCAATACAGAATTTACATTTCATATTTGTCAAAGAAGGAAAGACATGGAGCAGAGTGCAAAACATATATGAAAGCATTAGGCTTGCATAGACTCACTAGTAATGTACGTCAGCCATAATAAACTTGGCATAATGATACCTACAATAGATTTGTGGTTGGTCTAAGCCTAAGAAGGCTTCTAGGGCTAAGTTTTTAGAACAAGTATAAGAAATCTTCCAATTTTCTAAATTGAAAAGAAGGAATTTGGCATGGTTTACAATATGTATGGTGACAGGATTTCAGGAATTAGCTGCTGGAATTCTCAGGATGATTTAGGCTTGATTAAGTAAGGCTTCATGGCTGAGATTGGTACCATTCTAGATCTGCAAACAGTACCCTTAGTTTTGTGAAAGATTAAGAAGATAGAGAGAAATCTAGAAATTCCACTTAGAACTCCTTAAGAATAACCCCTCTCCAGTACCAGTGCTAAATATTCTCATAAAATAACAAGGGTTCAGACATTACATCACACTTCACAACTATGAAGCATGGGTACTTTGACAAACATGTACCTGTACTGTATACTGGTACTTTGTATGGTACTTCTGCACACATACTAGGTACACAAAACATGTACCTAGATTTTTCTTCTTATTGCTGTACTACAAACGTACCAAAAATATACTTAAGCCGTACCTCAGTCAAAATAGTATTTTCTTCTAATACAAAGGTAAAAATTAGTTTCATTGGACTTCTTTTACCGTTATTATGCTTGCCATGATTTTAAAATTAAGCTATGATTTGTAAGTTGTTTAACATAATGACATTTAATTTTGATTTATACCTTTATTTTTTGCATTAAACTTGAATTGTAGGTTGGATCGTAAAAAACTAAATAATTTACCTAATTTTTACATTATTCCAAATTAAAAATAAATACTTTTTTACAAACATATCCAGTCGTATCTGTACCTTACCTTTTTTAGATTTTACCGTATTAACGTACCTGTGACGTACCTGTACACACACCCATATGCGTGCTTCAATAGTTTCACACAAATTCTTAAATCACAAAAAATACACATAAGTATTTATGGGCTAATACACTCCTAATTCTTCTAAACTATAAGTCACAATTAGGAAGCTACAGGCTTGTTTGAAAACACGGACTGCACAGTAGTTTCACAATTAAGTGTGTTTGATAATTCATAATCAGCTACCACTTAAACCTGAAAGTTGACTGAAAATGGGTCTCAATTTCAAGGAAAGGAGGACTAAACACTGAATGTTTAATACACTTGACAGAAGGTAGTTTTCATTTTTCATGTTTTGCTTTCATTTTCTAGAAAAACACAAATTTATTTGGCTTATTATTTTCTGTTATTTTTTTATTTTTAACAGCTCACTTTTTAGGGAACATCAAAAAATCGTTTTGAATTAAAAAAAAAATCACTCAAAAATGAAAATTATTTAACAGAATTGGTGTTTTCATACTTTTGTTTTGTTTTCATTTACAAAAACACAAAAAACATAAACAAAAACAAAGAAAACAGAAATAACACTAAACAGTCCTAATGTTTTGAGCTTTATTAACATATATATTTTTTTTTGGTCGGCAAAAAAATAGACTTTATTGATGTAAGGATCAAGAACAAGGTACAAAATAATTACACCAATAAAGAAAAGGGAAATGCACGAGCATTACAATGAGCTAAATTATCCCAACAAGATTGGCACCAAAAAACTCATCCTATCATTCGCTAGCACCCTGGGTTGGTGAGAAACCAACGAAAGAAAACAAACCAAAACACCACAGAGTCACTACTGCTAATCCCACTGAACCACAAAATCTAGGGTTTTGTCACTATATATATAGAAAGATATCCATTTATACTCTTTTTAATAACCATCAAAATCTAGGGTTTTGTCACAATAGGAGACTTGCACAGGATGATACTATTCATTGAGAAATTCTAGGGTTTGTCAAAACCAAATAGGCCTAGTATTCTTTGCTGACTGATTTGAATTTATATATATACATATATATAGGTTTCAGCAGCGAGGGTGTTACAGGAGACTTGCGACCGCATAAGAGGCTTGCACAGAGAGGTTGATGACCTAAGTGAGCGCTTGTCCGAACTGTTGACTACAACTGATAGCGCTCAAGCGGCCATAATTAGGAGCTTACTTATGCAATAGGTCTATGCTTGTATTGCCTTTTTTCGTACCTCTCTTTCTCATAAATCTAGGGTTTTGTTTAGTCAGTAGATCAGAAAATGAATTTGTAATTGGGTGATATTTGCTTAGCTATTAATGTTATATAAACTAATAAATTTTAGCCGTAATTTTCTTTTTTACTTATTGATGTAGCAACTATATCATATTATTGAAGTGGATCATATACTCGTGTTTTAGATTCTAACACTTTATTATTACTAACACATCAGTTTGTAATTTTTTTTAAAATTTTTTAAAGATTTGTTAATTTGTATAGTACTTTATATTAATAAACATTTTTTGTATGTTTAGTATCACCTAGCATTAAATTATCAACCAATTAATTTTGCCAGTGCACACCAATCAAAGATTTAATCTAAAAAATATATAAGTTAATGGCATTGTGTCAGTTGAATGAGGTAATTTGATGCTATTGAAGAATGTACGCAGAATGGATAATATTATTAATGACAAATATATTTCATGAAATTGCTTAAGAAAATATATATATGTATATATATATAGGGAATTAATCTCATATCAAATGCTCAATTGAGCTTTAAAAATGGAATCTGTAATAGTTTGTTTCTACACAATTGGCTCTTTATATAATGTCCTCAACTTCATTGTTCTTTCACTAAACTTGACCCCGGAAATCAAAGGTTGAGTTTAGTAAAAGAATAGCTAATATTCATGTACAAGATTTTCACAATATAGGGGGTTTGTAACAAGAAATCAAATTCTATTCTCAATGATCAAAATGATCTGTTTTTACACTTTATTTATACAAGATGTTTGCACTTACTCTAACTACTTTATAGTTATATCTCTCTCTGTCTTATGTCCATACAAGTCTTCTTCATGCACGCGATGACTTGAGCAATGCTCAAGCTGACTGCATTTGTTAGGCATCATTTAGGCTTCTTAGTACATATCTTGAGTTGTGGCTTGGACTGTGCTTGAGACTTCAACTGAGCAATTGATTTTTCTTGCAATGGCTTAGTAATCTTATCATTCCCCCTCAAATTGATAGGACTAGGTAGGGCCATTAGTTTGTCTTTAAGATAATGAAACCGGGAGGATGGCAAACATTTGGTAATATATCAGCAATCTAATCAATGATAGAATATATCAGCAATCTAATCAATGATAGAAATGTAAGAAAGAGTGAATCGCTTGGAGACAACTCTTTCTCTGGTAGTGACAATTGAGTGTAGAAAACAAGATTGGATGTTAACGCCATAGCAGAGACATTATCACACCATAAAATTGAAATAGAACAAGGCACAAATAAATCCTTGAGCAACTACTATAACCAAACAATCTTAGTTGTGGTATGGGTCATGGACCTGTATTCAACCTCAATTGAGGAACAAGAGACTATGAGCTACTTTTTAGCCGACTAGGAAATGAGGTGTGGACCCAAAAAGATACAAAAACCAGATGTGAATCTCCAATCAAGACAATCCCCAGCCCAATTGGAGTCTAAATAAGCATGAAAATGAAAGGGGCCAAGACTAAAGGTGAGACCATGCGATTTAGTACCTTCAACATATCAAAGCAATCTTTTGACCATAGCAAAATGAGCAATGGTAGGAGCTTGCATATGCTGGCAAGCTTGATTCACAGACAAAGCCAAATCAAGCCTAGTTATAGTCAAATATTGCAAGGCACCTACTAGGCTTCTAAAAATAAATAAATAAATAAATAAGTTGAGGATAGGGCAAATCATTTAAGGGAGAAGAAAAAGACTTGAGAGTCAGAGGAGTAGAACATGGCTTACGCTCCACCATTCCTACTTTTTGTAATGATCCACTAGCATACTTTTGTTGGGAAAAAAAGAAGCCTTGAGAATGAGAGTGAACTGAGATGCCAACAAAGTAAGAGACATTGCCAAGTTCTTTCATGGAAAAAGTAGTATGCATTTGAGTGAGCAATGAGTTAATCAGCTGAGGATCACTCCCTGTGAACAAAATATCATCGACATAGATGAGCGAAATAGTGATATGAGCTATGGTCTTCTTAACAAACATAGAAGCGTCAGATTGACTCATAAAAAAACCTTGGCCATGCAAAAATGAAGAGAATGTTGAGTACCAAGCTCAAGGAGCTTGCTTGAGGCCACATAAGGCTTTCCTTAGTTTACAAACATGAGAAGTGAAGAATCAATGAAGCCTTGAGGTTGAACCATATAAACTTCTTCCTTTAGGATGCCATGTAAAAAGGCATTAAAAATGTCCAACTGTTTAATGTGCCAATCGTGTTGAAGTACCAAGCATAGAAAAATACTAATAGTTGGTTGTTTGGCAACTGGACTAAAGGCTTCTTGAAAATCCACACCTTCTTACTGAAGATAGCTTTTGGCCACAAGCCTAGCGTTATACTTGGCTATGGTTCCATCAGAGTTCTTCTTGATACGAAATATCCATTTACAACCAATAGCAGACTCGGTGACAGGAAAAGGAACCAAGCTCTAAGTACCTTGTCGTTGTAAAGCTTGAAACTCCTCAATTATAACAGCAGTTCAAATGGGAGATTGTAAAGCTTGAGTAGTAGTAGTAGTAGGTTCAATAACAGAAAGATCAATAGGAGAAGCATGAGAGAGATGACAAGTCTTGGATCTGGTAATCATAAGATGAATATTAAGATGAGGGACTACAAGAGAGGAGAAAGGCACAACAGGAGAGAAATACTTAATTGGAGGTAAATCAATTTGAATAGAGAAAATAGGAATAAGAGAAAATGTAGTAAGAAAAGGTTGAACATATGTAGGAAGAAGAGTGTCAGATATAGATGGAGACACTGATAGAGAAGAAGAGTGTGATACAAGATTAAGGAGAGGAACAGATGGAAACAGAGGAGCAGATGGAATAGAGGCAAAAAGGACTGGCACATATACAGAAATAGCTAGTACAGATGCAAAAGTAGCTGGCATGGAAGTAGAAAAAAGAAGGGAAAAAGAGCTAGGACAGAAAAATGAGTAAATAGTAGGTAAGGAAGAGTAATCAGTTGACTAAGAAGAGAAGGAAAAACAGAATTCATTAAAACGAACATACCTTGAAAGAAATACCTTGCCAGAAAGAAGGTCCAAGCATCTATATCATTTGGTAAAAGGATGATATCTTATGGACACACATGGAGAAAACCTAGTCACTAATTTGTGGGAAACATAAGGCCTAAGCCATGGAAAACACTAACAACCAAATACTCAAAAGAAATTATAATTAGGAATAATGTTAAAAAGGAGTTGAAAAAGGGATTTGTGACCAAGAGAAACACTAGGCATCATATTGATGAGAAAGACTGTAGTGGCTATTGCTTCAAACCAAAATTTGAGAGGTAAAGAAGATTGATGAATCAAGGCAATGACAGTCTCAGTGATGTGTTGGTGTTTTCTTTCTACTATGCCATTTTGTTCTGGTGTATAGGGATAAGTAAGATGATGAACAATGCCATGAGTAGCAAAATAATCATGCATCTTATTATTAACAAATTATGTGTCATTATCAGTCCTCAAGATTTTAAAGGATGTAAAGAATAGACTTTTAGTATAAACCTTGAAAACTAAAAATATAGAAAACACCTCATTTTTAACATAAAGATGATTGATCCAAGAAAATCTAGTAAAATCATTAACAAACAACAGATAGTACTTATAACCAGAATTTGAGATAGAAAATGGCCCCTAAACATCATTATGAACAAGGGAAAATGGTTGCTTAACAATAAAACTAGACAGTTTGAAAGGCAACCTATAAACCTTTGCAACATCGCATAGTGTGCAGGCAAACTTTACAATCTTTATTTGAAAAAATAGTAGGTAAATGTTTAGTAATATGATGAAATTTCAAGATAAAGGATGACTAAGCTTTTGATGCCAAATAGGTAATGAAATATGTGATTAAGTATGAAAGATATGAGCCCGAGGTGAATGTAGAGGTAATGCAGATGAAAAATGGTAAAGACTATTCACATTGGAGCCTTTATGGAGCACTTGGCTCATATGCTTGTCCTGAACAACAAAGGAGTTAGCATCAAAAGTAGCTGAGCAATGATTATCCTTAGTTAATTAATGAACATATAAAAGATTAGATGAAATGTTAGGCACATGTAGAAGATTATGAAGTTTAAAAGAGTATTGTGGAGTAGGTAATGAGCCTTTACCTATGTGTTGAATAGGAACACCTTGGTCATTTCCCATATTTACTTGATTCGGGCCCTGATATTGTTGGTAAAGACTGAGATTGCCTAAGTCATTGGTGATGTGGTTGGTAGCAACTGAGTCAATATACCGTGGTGTACCAAGTGGATCAAAAGGACTTGAGTGCTGACTAGTCATGGCTAAATAAGCTCTTGATTCAGACAAAGGAGTATGTGATGATTGAGAAAATAAAGGAGTATGTGATGACTGGTAATGGGAATCCATTCGGAACCAACAATCAAGAACAATATGATTGACTCCACTACAAATTTGACATCCAGAATATGCAACCTGTGCTAGATCTATTTGATCTTCCTCCTCTATATCTTTCACCTCTAGATATCATAAAATACTAAGAATAAAATGAAGTCTCAGAGTTTTTTTTGTTAGAAATGGTTTTGGAAAAAACTAGATTTTTCCTCAACTTTGGTCTAATTTTTAGGTGGGACCCATGCGCCAAAGTTGGCAGGTCTAAGTGGTAACGCATTCTATGCCACGTTTTGATTCACATAATATTTTTGGTTGCTCAAAACCATTATCAAGTGAATGGGAAATTGAAGTCAAAGTGAGTTCTATGAAAATGGTATTTTGATGGAATTTCCTTAAAGGTTTGAGTTAAAGCTTGTCCCACATTGGTTTGGTGGGCAAACTTTGTGTAGGTTTATATGGCTTGGGTTTGGAACTTGGGGTAGACCCTAAGGAACACTCAAGTTTTGTAGTAGAGAAGGTTATAGGCAAAGTAGACTAGACTCATTGGACCCAAAATAAACACACGAGCCCT